GGCAGCTTTGGGGTCCGCACAGCGGCAGCCTCCCCTCCCGCCCTGGCGACACCCGCCCTTAGCGGCGAGAGAACCGAGCGGCGTTTCAAAAGCACCCAAAGAGCCGTTTTCAGAAGGATGTTCCTGTTAGAAGTTTAAATGCTTCTTTCTGTAATTGCACCATAGAAATAATTTGCTTAAATTAAGCTTGCCTGCCCATAATTTCTATTTGTAAGAAGGAGAATAAGAAATACGCTTTTCAGACTGATAGGTGCAATCTACCAGAGCTTTAGATTGTTACTTATTTACCCATCGACCACACTGCTGGGAACTCCCTGTGCAGATCAGATGCTATCAGACGAGGAGTAAGGATCGACTCTCCTACGTGCTGCTCCAGCCACTGCTGCTTGTGGCTTTGGAGCTGCAGCTGTGGAGTTTGTCCGTAGTGCAGTTACAGCACATAAGTGTGGTGCCAAATGCTGACAGCATTTTACAGTATATAAAAAAAATCAGGCGTCGTCACTTAACCTGTTGTTTCCTTCAGGGAACACCTCCGAAGACTATTTAAGAATCCTACAGAATGTCCCGACCAAGAGAGCTGCTGCATACATGAGAGGTCAGTGGGGAGCCCAGTGGAGGGCAAGAGTCGGCAAAGAGAGGTTGCAGAGCTGGTTGAAGGGCAGGCTGTTCATGTTATTCAAACTGGTTTTAGTGTCAAACAGCAAATGGGTATTTTACAGGAAAAAAAACCCTTAGCTTTCCTGAAACGTGGGTGTGTTTGGTAAACCCCCCTATCTGATCACATAAACTTTTTTAAACTTGATAAGGGAAAGTAAATAGATATCTCCTGCACACAAAGACGTGAATATACATCTCCATTATTTCCCTTCAAATAGCACAGAAGGCCGTTTTCATCACATCTCCTGTCTTGGGTTTCCCAAGGGCTGTGTAAGTCCTTGTGACTTTTTAACACCCCATTTCTACGTGTGAACTCCCAGCCGTCCAGCTAGGGCCTTTTCTTGGCGTTTCCTACAGGAAAACCATTTCCATTTACGAGAAAGTAAAGTGTCATGAGGCTGAACTCAGGTCACTAGAGCTCAGCGGTTCATTTTAAAATTTGTTTGCTTTCCTTTCTAGTGTCCAACCCAGTAAAGAGTTCAAAACTGAGCCTGGTTGAGAAGGGTATTTGTGAAGACATCCAGTGCAAGAGCGAAGAGCTGGTGATAAGGAAACCAGGCCTCTACTTGATCTATTGCCACTTGAACTTTCATTTTCCCAACTGTTCAAACAGCCCCACCGACCTCAAGATAGAGCTCCTTGTGAATGACAAAGTTGACAGGCAAACATTATCCACATGGTGCGAATCAGAAACATGCCAAGAAAAGACTTTTAAGACCTTGTTCCAGCTCCATTTGACATACCTGAGTGCGGAGGACCGAATATCAGTAACACTTAATCATCCTAAATTCTTGAATGAAATTTCTCTTCCCAATGAAAACGTTCTTGGGGTCTTGAGGTACAGCGATGAAATGTGAGCAGCTCTCTGACTTCCCACTACTGCCCACACTTGCCTTTCTCTGAACAAGTCGCCTGCTTTTGCTAGGCAACACCTTGTTTTAAATTTCCTATCATCTTACCTCATCGCTAGGGTAAACAAGGAACTTTGCGAGTGCCCCAGAATGAAACATAAAACACTGCAAGACCCACACCTGACAGATTCCCCTGGTTTGGCTCAGGGCAGGATTGTTGCTGGACTATCCAGCATGTAACATACAGATCTGCCAACAGTTTCTCAAAACAGTACTGTGTAAACACAGATTAAGACGTAACCAGATTATGGGAAGAATATGCAATATCAAGACTTTTTGGCCAATGGACTGCTGGCAAGGCGCCTGTGCTCCGGAGATGGGGAAATCTTTTTAACTGAATTTTATGGAGTAATATTTCGATGTGGTCTTTCCAAAAGACTTAACAGGCAAAGCTTGTAATCAAGGCTTTTTTTACAACTGGAGCAGGCAAGCACAACTCTAGAGTAGGTTTATGGATAGATCGTACAAAAACAAAGATGATGAAATTACTGACTCACAGGCTGGTAGCTAAAACTCTGGGACAGGACATAGGAGATATGAGGCTTACAGGATATTTCTGTGCTGCATTCTGCTATGGACTTTATGCAATTTATTTCCAAGTGTCTTCCTTTTCGCTATTTATCCATCTTATCTATTTAAATATTAAGCTTTTGGGGGCAGGGAATTTGTATGTGCACAGTGCTCAGCTTCTGTTGTCACCTGGGTTTACTAGACCTTTTTACAACAAATATTAAACCAGTAATCTAGTTGTGAATCTGCCCACATGACAAAGTTCATTATGATACATTTTCCTCGAGTCCTGACCTGCCTGTTTGACAGTGCTCTGCGTGGCACCAGACCACGCTGGTGTCTAAATACACGTCTAACACCTGCACTTTCTGAAAATCCAAGATTTAGTTCTGAGGTCCAGGCTTTCCCAAAGACGATTTCAGACCTGGCCCTCAACTGAGAGCTGTGGTGTTTGGGCAGCCCAGAGCATAGATGTTATTTGAGCTCCTTTGGCTTACTGGAAAGCTTAGATAACGAAGGATAAAGGAATAATCACAGGCCCTCTTATTCTACAAATGCAGTAACACAGGCATTTACTTGAAATGTAATTCTGACAGTGTGGAGAGGGAAGGGACCAAAAAGTCACAAGAGCTGGTACCAGTCCACTCTTGCCTCTTGTCCCTTCATCCCTGAGATCCTACTAAGGTCTGCTTTCACTGGTATTTCAGTTTTTCCCCTTACATACCTGTACTCTCTTTCCTCTACATGACTAGAGCTTGGTGAACTGTTCACATCAAAACATTTAGTCATAGATTTAGTTTCTGGCTTAAGAAAACCAGTGTTTTATTATTCAAGCTGAGTTGATGTTGTCAACTGATGTAGCTTAGTTTGTGTGAACACCCTCAAAGTACTCTTAATAGTAGTAATTTGTTACTTGTGTCACCAGAAACTGATGGTTTGTATTAGTTATGTTTTGTCCCATTGACCAGGTGACTTCAAAATACACAAGAAACATTTAAAAGGGTCATGAGCAATTTACGTGATTCATTCAGAGATACCTACTTTCTGTTTTGATAAACCTTGATAAAAACAAAAATTCCTTTTGCTATTAGTGGTTGGGGGAAAAAAGAAAAGCAGAATACTAAATCCATGTTTTCCTTCTTTCTTTCTTTTTCCCTTGAAGAAAAGAAATTTGTTTTTACAAGAGTCACCTTACCCTGCCAATGTCATTGTAACATCCACTGGGATCTCCTAACCCCTCTGGACACTATAAATCTCCAATGTCTCTGAATAGGGTTTTTAACCTCTATCTGCCTCCACCTTGATACACACAACTAATGCCCAGAGAAGTTTAAGCAAGTCTGGCAGTCAGGAATCATAGCTCCTGAACATAGAAAAGGCAGATAATGAATGAAAATATGCATTTACTCACACGTACCACCCCACCCCCCACCTTTTCCTGAGGGCTTTGAATTGAAAGAGAAAGACCATTCTTTTAAAAAATAAAGCAGCTCTCCGCATAGGATGATTTTAGTCTATTATTTTGCCAGATGGAAAAAATCCTAACAAAGCAGTGCTAAGCTTCTCAGCCCCAGGCTTTATAATACCGCAGGATAAAGCAGTCTGGCCTCTACTCTGTTGCCTCTGAGAAACAAGAATATATTATAGCTATAAAGAGAGCCCATTAATAGCGTGCAATTTTGCCATCAGTTATAAAAATGTTAAATAGCTTTCACTGAAACAAGGCCCTGAGCCAGGCAGCAGCCTCCGCACTCTCTGGCAGACTTTAAGTCACTCCACTCTTTCATGCCTTTTCCTTCTCTTATTTCCCAGTTTTTTGAAGCTGGTCATTTTTGAAAACAATCCTGTACTAAAAAAAAAAAAAAAAAGAGTCCAGGCTGATCCCTCACACAATGCCACATCTCTTCAGACCATCAGCAGCAATGCACTTTGGGGAGCGACCTGTTCCCACCACCTCATCTTCACCGTTTGCAGCAGATGAGTTTTTCTGCAGGAGGGCCCTCGCTCTTCTGAGGAGCACCTCAGACCTACAGACCCTGCTCTGGTTCCCCACCGCGGGGCTCAGCCCATGAGAAAGGAGGGACTACTGAAAGCACTGAAGTGACAGAGAAATTTTGAAAATTCCTCCCCTTGTCCTCAGATGTGGCAAACATGTGGCTTTCTGTACATGTGCTCTATTGCTAACTCGACCAGAAACAGGAAGCGTCACCGATCTCACAAGCAAGTCTGCTCTGTTGAGGTTTCTTGGCCCTTCTCCGACACTGAAGAAGTTGCACTCTTAAACTGCTTTCTGCTTGGCTGAGGAGCATCTGTGGGAGTTAATATATGACATTATTCGTAATGTTGGTTGATAGGGGAAAATGCGTATTATTGGCTTAATTCTGGCTGGTTTTAATTGCAATAGAAAATTTTAATAGGGACTTAAACAGAAGTCAAGTCAATGAAATACACTTCCATCCAAGCTCACCTGGGGGCAGCAAACCAAAATCGTATCAAGTTTACTATCAGAGATTAAAGTTGGATCAGAACTTCACCAAAGCTGTGAAGACTTTGAAATCAGGATTGCAATTAGATTTCGCATCCCATGAAATTGGCCTGAACCCAAACTCCTCAAAGCCCAGATCTGAAAATTAGGTCACAGATTATCTGACACACACTCATTATTTAGGCTTACTGAGGGACTTGGGAGTTTTGCATTCACTTCACTTCACTTCTGGTTTTGTTTCATTTTATTTTCTTCAGCACTTCCCAGGGAGGAAATATCATAGTCACTTAGAGAGAAATCCTTTACTATGCTATGGGCAACCAGAGGCTGTGTGCTACCTAAAACGCACAGCAGTCCTATTTTAAAGATCCCATTTGGATCAATAGTGCATCGACCTTCTGCAAGGTAACTACCTGACTCTGTGCTCCTCTTACGCACTCAGATTCCTTTGGAGAGCAAGCAGCATTCTGCAAAATCCTTGGCCGCTTGCTCATGCTATTGAATCAATACTATTATTCTTTGTAATGTTATTAGATAGAAAAATTACAAGCAGCTCTACTTTTTACAAGCACCCTATCCTGAAGTTAAAGTAAGAAAGGGGGTCTCAAGTACTCAAATAATCAACCAAAAAGCAAAATAAGTAAGAAGCCTTTGCTTTTTGGGACTTCTGACTGGGCCTTACTGACTGGTCTTTAAAAACTGGAAGTGATACAACTTGTGTTTGGGGCGAATAGCAAGGGAAAACCTCAAAGCAAAGACAGCTTCTGTAAGAGGAATAACTGTAAAAATGTAAATTCTGATGAGCCACACTTGTGGCATCAGGAGTTGCACTCAGTGACCTCAAACCCTCTTCCAGCCTCAGCTTTTTATGGTTATAATAGGCTCAAATTCAAGAAAGTATGAGGGACTGTGAGGATACAGAGTCTTGGAAAAATGTTTTGGAAGAGGGCATTCTGCAGCCGTGCCCCCACCCCAGGGAGTGCAGCTGAAGTGGTTTAAATTCCCAATTTCTCCTTTTAGTACTGAGCCCAGGAGCTTGAAGATTTGGGGTGGAAGAGGGTAGAGACCAAAGAAGGACAGCACGGCATGTTCTAAAATTCAGGTGCTTCCAAGGAGAATGAAGGTGGAGAGCTCCCAGAGCCCAACATCTGCATCAGGGCCAGAGCCTTCAACCCCTCCACACTCTGGGCTGCAAAGGGCTCGCTGCAGGCAGCAGTCACCCTCCTCTGATGTAAGGTGAGGATGTTGTACACCATGGGTAAAGTCATCAGCTTTCCTGAAATGCCATATCTTGCAGTATTGGCACACCATTTCCCTTCAGCCATCTCCACAGCATCTAAATTTAGGATCCCTATTTCCTTCTATAGCTGGTGTGAAGCAAGAACCTTCAGTGAGCCAGTCAGAGCACCCCAAATAGCTGCCTTAATAAGTCATCAACTACTGAGTGAGTCAGTCTGGTCACAGAGTCCTCAGTCTCAGCAGCTTCATTCAATTCAAGATAAATAAAAGATTGTTTAATCTGTGGATTGATAATTTATGGACACTTTGTACTGATAATTTATGGGCACTTTCTGCAGCTTCCCAGAGAGTCCTTTGTGCTTTGAGGCTGTGCGAGGCTCATGGAAAGCCCACGGCTCTCCAGCAGAATACGTTTGTAATGTAAAACACAAATGCTAAGTAAGTTGTTAGATTTACAGACACGGAGGAATAAGATTTTCTTGCTTAGGTCATTTTCATTCACACCAGCACCTATGGCCTGGACTTGTCTAAAACTGATAGAGGGAGAGTAAAGACTGTTTTCTCATCTAAAACTGTTTAGTAAATATTTGACAATTTTTTCATTCATTCAGTTTACATATTTTTAATTTCCTTGTTTTTCTATTATGCTGCTTCTTCCTCTCTTTGCTTCTATCTTTCATTCTCTATTTCTGCTTAAAAGTGGATGGAAAAA